TATGAAAATAAATAGCCTCAGGTCATCAATTAAAAGATAGAGTCAAAAAGAGTGGGTTCAAAGTCAGATTCAAGTGTCTCTTCTGTCCAGAAACACACTTTACTGACAATGACATCCAGAAATCTATAATTATGGTAAACAAATGACCAGCCAAAAGAATATATAAACAAGGTGGAATATCAGTTCTCATAGATCATAAAGCAGACTGTAAGCAAATGTAGGTAGAAGAGATAATTGATCAGTGCATATTATCAGAAAGAAATTTTTATAGAGAACAATTTCAAATATTTTTCACTTAATGATATAATTCCTAATTTTTAAAAAATTGTATTTTTTTTATTTTATGTGTGAGTGTTATGCCTGCATGTAAGTAAATGCACCCTTGTCATGCAATGCCCACAGAGGACAGAAGAGGCTGTTGGATCCCCTGGAACTGGAGTTATGAACAGTTGTTAGCTGCCATTTGGGTGCTCAGATTCGAACTCGGGTCTTCTGCAACAACAGTCAGTGCTCTTAACCACTGAGCCATCTCTCCAGCCTATAATTCCAAATTTTATAATACAAAGACCACATAGAAGAAAAGATTAAAATGGTCCTCATATAATAACAGTGAGCAATGTCAGTCCACCAACTAAAACTCTGGGTAAATTTTCCAAAATTTGGAAGAATACCCTCAAGATATGAATTACTTCATAGATGAACAGGATTTCAATGATATCCACAGATTGTTACTTAGAGGAAGTAAGAATGAAAAATTTTCAGAATTCCATAGAAATTATTCTAGAAAAGATCACATTATGGGTTGCAATACAAGCATCATCTAAAGCAAATGTTGTTAAAAATTGATTGAACTGCTTACACTTACAGGAACAAACGTGGCTGCTTGTCTTTGAGTAAATCTTGTACCAAGGACTTTACCCTTTGGACTTACCCTTTAAAAGCTCCCATACCCTCTCAGTTACCACAGCATTCTCTAAATTGGCTCACAGAGTGCAATCACTGGCAAGCTAAATGAATTAGGCTGATTCAGAAAAAATAAAAATAAAAAATGATCATGTATTTTTAAGTAATAGTGGAAGAAAACTATAAATACACTAGAAAACAAATGAAAGCCTCTGGAAATATTTTTTTATTGAGCAAATTTCATCTGAATAAATTTTGGTCATTGTTATACCAAGATGGGAATTTTCAAATTCCAAAATAAATAAATAAATAAATAAATAAATAAATAAATAAATAAATAAAAAATCATGACCTCAAATATAGGTGTGAAACAAAATAAATAACATAGAAATGAAATTCAATTTTTCTCCTGAATGAAGAAGCTAAACACAGTCTTTTACATGGTGAGAAATACCCAATAGAAAAGAAAAAAAAACATGGAATATAAAACATTACATGAAATATATCACTCCACCCATTGGAAAAAAAAGTGGCCAAAGGCTGGACAAGGGAACCAAAAAAGTCCTAGTAAAAACATACTGATACTATACAGGTTAGAGGGAGTTGTTAAAAGACTTCAATGAAATAAAAACTGTCATTAAAGAATAACTTATACATGTTTAAGAAGCTAAAAGAAATGGATCTATAAGAAACACATGAATTCCTAAAGACATTTGACCTGCTGGTATTAAATGAAAAATAAAGACACTGAAGCACCATTTCAATGTCCCCAAGGAAAATATAAAACATTACATGAAATATATCACTCCACCCATTGGAAAAAAAAGTGGCCAAAGGCTGGACAAGGGAACCAAAAAAGTCCTAGTAAAAATATATTGATACTATACAGGTTAGAGGGAGTTGTTAAAAGACTTCAATGAAATAAAAACTGTCATTAAAGAATAACTTATACATGTTTAAGAAGCTAAAAGAAATGGATCTATAAGAAACACATGAATTCCTAAAGACATTTGACCTGCTGGTATTAAATGAAAAATAAAGACACTGAAGCACCATTTCAATGTCCCCAAGGAATGACAGCCCAAGTCTAGATGGGATCATTACTGATACCTCACAAATATTTTTTTTTCAGTCACTTAACAGTATATTTGGAAAACAAAAAAATTAAAAGGAGTTACATACAAAGTCAGATATTACCCATCTATCAAAATTTAGTTTTGAATTTGTGTATTATATGTGTGAGCATTTAAATACAGGAGGACTGATAATGGTATGTGATATACATTTAAAAAATTTTGCCACAATTTTTATTAGTTCTATGAGAATTTCAAAGAATGTATTTTTATTGTAGTCCCCCCCATGCCTAGAAGTCATCATAAATCCTACCCTTCACAACCTAGCCAATAATGTTCGTTCATTTTGTTATTCATTTATTTTTTTAACCAAATATAAAATTTGTACTAAACTGAACATAAACATTTGAATATGGGGTCATGCATGGAGAGAAGTTGACATACCTGGGGTCACACCCTTGAAGAAGACTGATTCCCTCCCAGCACCTATCAATTACCAATAGCTCCTGACCAAGAGGTGGAATTTGTGCCCAGCTCCCACTCTCCATTCTAGGATTAAAGGCCTGTGCCACCACACCTGGCTTGTTCTTTGGCTTTTGTATCTTAGCCATGGTGAATGGGTTAATAAATCTCAAAATGATTTTAAATTAAATTTCCTCTATGACTGCTGATGTACAACATATTCAAAGAAGATCTCAGACTTATATTTCATCCTTGGAGAACAGCCTGTCTAGTTCCTTGCCCCACATTAAATGGGTTGTATGTTTTTTGATGTTTAGTATTTTGAATTCACCATACATTCTAAATACTGATCGTCTCTTATCACCAGAATTTGATGACAAGATGCTGCTGCTAAAGACAGTGCACTCATGAGCTATAGAAGAAAAAAGGAGAAATAAAGCTGGTACTGACTTCAAACCTTCATCTCTATTGACTAGTCTTCATAGTCCTGGAAGGTGCTTTGTATGCTACCATAGAGAAAACTGATCATCAACTCTATCCAGATGTGAATCTTATGAGATACAGCAACAACTGGTCTGGCAAGCAACAGTGACGTGAATATTTTGTTAGTTAACAATCACTTTATAATTGCATTTAAGGTCTCCTTCATAAGTTAGAGCCCATATCTGATATGGATATCAGGCTTTTGGGTCACAATGCTATTATTCTGCCAAATAATGCTATTATTCTGCCAAATATGGTAAACTGACTCCAAATGACTTATTGTTATACCAGCAGATTAATGCATCTCTCAACTGTCACTAGTGAAGCTTCTGTATGCAGCACATGGTGAATCAAACAAAGACCCACAACTGACTAATGTGCAGATAATTAGACTACATAGTACCTATTCCCAAGTAAGACACCTATACCAAAATTCTGCCTCCGAAGCCACAGGGATCATTGCAGGATAGCCAAAAGAAATATTTCAAGAATTACAAATGGAAGGATAACACATGGAAACGGAGATTTACAGATAGTTGGAAAGTAGCTCATGAAATATATCATTGGTGACATCATGCACAAGTCCCACATAAGGTCAAGACAGGAAAAATCCAAGCATAGACATGGGGAAGTTGGTGAGAAACAAAAATGCTGCTTGAGGAAGTATTGGCCACCACAAGCTTCAGGAAGAGGGAGAAAGTGTCTCTTCCATGGATGGGATTCTTCATAGGTTGACCAGGCTCGAGTGGATGACTGCATACATATATATATAACGTGGAGAAAGAGGGAGAGACAGAGAGAACACTAAATTGGGTAGGGGTACTAAAGGGGATGCAGATAGGGGAGAGTATCTAAATACAGTCAACATATTATATGAAATAGTTTTTAATTCAATAAACGAGAAAAGAAATTGAACCCACAGAATATTAAGTACATGAAAACAAAATTTACTATATTGTGAAAAGATACATTGGTTGCGTGCATGAAATTTTCAAGCGATTAATATAATGGTTATATTTTTAAAAGAAGAACAGTGAATATATTGAACCATGAACTATAGGCACTCAGAAGTGGCACATGAGATAGAATACAGTGTGTAAAAATATTTTAGTGGTAAACTTCAAAAGTATACTATGCCATGTGTGGTGGCACAGGCCTTTAATCCCAGCACTTGGGAGGCAGAGGCAGGTGGATCTCTGTGAGTTCAAGGCCTGGTCTACATAGTGAGTTCCAGGACAGCTGGGGCTACAGGGAGTCCCTGTCTCAAAAAGACCCCACCCAAAAATATATGTGTATAATAAACTGGGTGTGGTGGAGCACACCTTTAATCTCAGCACTAGGGAAGCAGAAGCAGGCAGATCTCTGTGAGCTCAAGGCCAGCCTGGTCTGCATAGCAAGTTCCAGGCCAGCTTGGACTACAGGGAGACTGTCTCAAAAAGTCAAAAAACAAGCAAACAAACAAATGAACAAAAAACTCTATAATCATTCAGAAAATCCTTATAGGAACAATTCATGAAATAATGTGAAGTCAAAAACTTTCCCAAAGTATGCTAAATGGAAGAAAACTGAGAAATGGGTCAAGTATTGAATGGGAAGACTAATGTGGGGCATTTACAGTGTCTTATGCATTCCTATTCTTTTTTTTTTAACCTGGTTCATTTGCGACAGGGCCTCTCTGTAGCCCCACCTGTCCTAGAACTATCTACCTAGGTAGACCAGGTTGCCTTAGTCTTTTAAAACTCATTGGTTGGTAAAATTAGTATCAATGTAATCAAATATATGGAAATTTTTCTAAAAGAGAATTCAAATATATAGATATTTTAAGTTAAAAGGAAAAAGAACTGTTCAATTAAATGAAAATCCCATGACTTTACCATTCCACTTGAGTGCTTGAAATCATTGAATACATTTGAAAAAACATCCTTTTTTTTTAGGGAAGAGCATGAAATCAGTCCCCCACTACCACAAATTATGCAGTCTAGTTTCCCCATTTAGGGAAATCACAGGGGTCAGTACCTCCCAAGTGCAATGGATGAGCCACACCCTGGGAAAATGCACTTCCTGATTATGGTGTCTCCCCTGCCAGGTAAGTATACATATGAAGAAACATGCCCCCCCTTCTACAAACACTATTTCATTTACAGGGTGAATATGAAGAAAGAATGTAATATTTTGAATGGCATTATCAGAAATCTCATTACTGAGTGACAGGACTGATTGATTGAGCAACATAAAGACAAGAGGGGCCTGCAGAGATAGTTCACTGGTTAAGAGCACTGGCTGCTCTTGCAGGTTTGGTTCCCAGCATCCATGTGGTGGGCAACAAATGTCTTTTACTAGAGTTCCAGTGGATTCAATATCCTCTTCTGACCTCAATGGGCAGTGCAGGACATGGGTGCACTTATATATATGCAAGCAATACATTCATACTTTGTTCTAGTTTGTTTCTTCATTGCTATGACAAAATACTCTGACAAATACCAACTTGGGGAGGAAAGGGTTTATTTAGCTTAAATCTCCCAGATCATAGCTCATGAGGAAGTCCAAGGTAGGAACTCAGGGCAGGAACCTGGAGGTAGGAGGTGGAGCATAGGCCACAGAGGAATGCTGCTTACTGGCTTGCTCCCCTGGCTCCTGCTCAACCTGCTTTCTTATACAACATAGGTCCACCTGCCCAGAGGTGCCACTACTCACAGTGGGTTGTACCCTTCCCTGTCATTCAATAACGAAGACGATGCCCCACAGACATGGTCACAGGGCTAGTCCAATGGATGTAATTCCCCAATTGAGGCTCCCTCAACACAGATATGTCAAGTTTACACTAAAGCTATCCAGAACAATGACCCCTTGTCAACTTGACACACAAACACATCACTATTAAACCACAACCTTCCATTTCTTATCCCCAAGATATGATGTTAACATTAATATAGCAATATAAGACAGCCAACCTTAAAAGCCTCATAGCTCTTTAGAAAAATCCAAACACTTAAAAATTCACAGTCTCTTTTTAACAGTCTCTTAACTGTGGGCTCCTATAAAATCCAAAACAAGTACTATCTTATTTCCAAAGGGAGGAATCAGGTACAAAGCAAAACCTAAGTCCAGGCAAGGAGCTCAAGGCTGGAAATCTGGGATTTGCTCATGATCTTCTGGGCTCCAAAGGTTTGTGGAAGCTCCACTTCTCTTGGTGTCCACAGCATACACACCATCTCATAGAGCTCCTATAAAATCCAAAACAAGTACTATCTTATTTCCAAAGGGAAGAATCAAGTACAAAGCAAAACCTAAGTCCAGGCAAGTAGCTCAAAGCTGGAAATCTGGTATTTGCTCATGATCTTCTGGGCTCCAAAGGTTTGTGGAAGCTCCACTTCTCTTGGTGTCCACAGCATACACACCATCTCATAGACCCAGGCCAGCTCCATTCCACACCTGATGCTACCCTTGGTGGTCATTCTGGCATCTCGGAAAAGCTGGGGTCTCCACTGAAAGTGAAGCTGTACCCTCACTAATGGCATTTTCTGGTGTGTTGGGGTGCAAATACTCAGATTTTCTCCATGACCCCTTCAAACTGGGGGCCTTCACTGCAACCGAGGCTGCACTTTCACCAATGGCTTTTCCTGGCCTCTCAGGGTGCCTCTCAGCTGCTCTCTGTGATCCCTTCACATTTTCAATACCAGAACCATGCAAGAGTCTCTTCCACATCACCAAGTCCTGCTTCCATCTGAGATGGAGTATTGGGCCCCTTCTGTACCATAACTTCTGTGCTAACCTTGAGGAAATACTTTACAGAAGATTTTGCCAAACTGATGATGGTCTCTTTTTACTTACAGCTTATTTTTCAGTCCTAGGTACCCAGCATCAGTTGTCCCAGTAAAGCATAGGTTTAACTTCAGTGGTTCTGGTCTCTTAATCACAGCTGATATTTCAGGCCCAGCTGACCAGAAACCATAGGCTCTCAATACAAGAGATCAGACAAAGAACACTGATAGTTTCCACTTCCCTTTGAAACTTCACAAGCCAGTCCTCCATTGTCTACAACTCTTTCAGCATAACTGTTCCAAGATCCAGAGAAAGGAACTTTAAGCACTTAATGGCTTTTCTAGTCCAAAATTCCAAATGCTTCCACAATCCTCTTAAACACACAAGGTCAGGACTGTCACAGCAACACCCCACTCTCTAGTACCAATTTCTGTTCTAGTTTGTTTCTCCACTGCTGTGACAAAATATTTGACCAATACCAACTTGTGGAGGAAAAGGTTTACTTCATCTTACATCTCCCCAGATTGCAGTTCATCAGGGAACCCAAGGTAGGAACTCAGGCAAGAACATGAAGGTAGGAGCTGGAGGACAGGTCATGAAGGAACACTGCTTCCTGGCTCGCTCCTCTGGCCCATGCTCAACCTGCTGTCTTATACAACATAAGCCCAGCTTCAGGGGGTGGCACCACCCACAGTGGGCTGGACCCTCCCACATTACTCAATAATCAAGATTACCCACAGACAATGCCACAGTCCAGTCCAATGAAATCAATTTTCCAATTGAGGCTCCCTCAACCCCGGTTGTCATCTTGACACTAAAGCTATTCAGCACATACATATACCATAAAAATAAATAAATAAAAATTTAAAGAAGAACCAGGAGGCAAGACTATGAGTTCTTAAACATAACTACATAAAATTTTCTTCTATAGGAAGAACATAGTCACAAACCCAGAGTAGCAAATACCTGAGGACAGGTTGTTAGTTCAAAAATTTTCCATCACTCTCATGTCACATTTCCCAAAGTGAAGAGTCCTTAGTTAATGATAGTTGACACCTTCATTATAATAACTTATTTATTTTGTGAAATGCACTATGAATTTGTGATGTGCATCATGATGTTTGAAGAGTAGACACACTGTACATGACTCATGCAATTTAGTGAA